TTTCGGCCCATTGGGCTTTTAGAGGTGGTTCACGGCCCAATGTGCATAAAAGAATTGATTTATGGTCCATTTGAAGGTTCTAAGCCCAACATAGTCAAATTGGAGGCTTATTGGCCCATTAGGCCCAATAAGAAAATCCTAGTCCATAATGGACTTAAGTCGGGATTTTTAGGGTTTCCAATCTTTTGTTGACTATTTGAAGTGTTTTATAGAGTGTTTGATGGAATTTTGTTGTGATTGATTAAGCATCATACATCCTTTCAAGTTTTAGTTACAATGTTATCCTTGTTTAATGTTTACAAAACAATAGAATTCCTAGTTGTGACACTAAAACATACAATACAAGAATACATTTTATAACTAATTTATATTTGAAGTAAACATCTTCAATATTGACCATAGTGGTTGAGTGTTATCACTTGCTTATTATTTAGTTATTTTTAAATAAAAAAATTGGTTAAATATATAATGTTATATTTAATTATTTTATGGTGTTGTTTTGTAATTGGTAATATTATCTATTTTAATAGGTTTGTAATTATGTATTAAAATATATTTTGAAATAATAAAATAATGTTTTGAAAAAGTCATACGTAACTATTTACATATGTATTCTCATATTTGACTATTAACAATATTTATCATAATAAAAACAAAGATAAAAATAAAAATAAAACTCAAACGTATGAATAAATTTAAAATAAAATAAATATATGTAAGAATAATTAAAAATAACTTATAACTTATAACAAAAATACATAATAAAAATACAACTTGTAAGCTAGATAATTATTAATATTAAGATAAATCTTTAAAAAAACTCGAACGGGTTAGTTATTCCGAGTTAAAGTTGGACATCAAAGCTATTTTGTTTAAAAATAAAATTAAGGGAATACTTGGTAGAAACCAGCCGCATGTTTTCAATCTTTTTTAAACAACTTTTTCTATGTTGTCGCATATATAACAACGGATCCGAAAGAAACGAACAGTTTACTTTATAAGTGATTACAAACAAAGGATTTCCAGGTTTAACAAAAAAAGTAATATAGTTTTATTGTAACCGAACATAACAAATATATTTTGTTTAACGTAAAACGTAAGATTTGATTTAACCGAAAAACATTTTTAGTTCTAACCCAAAACTAAAATGTATTTTAATTTTTATTCGAAAATAACATTCTGAAAGGAAACTAATATTCGTTTGAAACTATTCATCAAAAGTAACGATTCACCACCGCAGCATCGTACGGGTACACCACTAATATATATAGCTATATATATATATATCTATAGATATCTATATATATATCATATTATAATATATATCTATCTATATATATATATTATATATATATTACACACCGCCCCATTGCTCTAGAATCTAAGGAAAGTAGCTTTGGAGGGGATGTTTAGGAATTATGTTTGATTTTTTGACGAATTCTAAGGATTTTTCAACAAATTTTGTGGGACTTTTAGATTGTGCGGTAAAATTCTCAGCGCGTGTCTTTTTAAAAGGTATATATTTTTTTCTCTTTTTCTTTAAAGGTAGTATTATGTTATCCCTCATTTACACTCAATTCTTCCAAAACTTCTTCCCGAAGGAATTCCACTTATCTATCCTCTCTTTTTCCTCCGCTCAAATAAACCAGGTACTTTTATTTATTTATTTACTTATTTATTTATTTATTTATTTTTCTTTAAAGGTGGATTACTGTATAATAAGTCTGTTTTTTTTTTTTGGATTTTTCTTGGATTTTCGGCTATTTTTTTTTGCATTTTAAACAGTCTTTTTAACATTTTTTTGCCGGGTCGGGTCCACTAAATGGGACAATGTGCCACCGTTTGAAAAGTCGATCTCTGCACCTCCAAGCTTCCATTCACCTCCTCAAACGCTTCCCTACTTTCTCAGTACACTACTACCTCCATCACCTCTCTCTACCCAACAACCCAATATACCGACGTTTGCCCATTTCACCTGCCTCTATCATTCGATTAACAAGCAGCTTTGAAGGATATTGTCTGATTCACTTTTCATTCAGCCAGGTGAGTTCATCGATCAATGTTAATTTTAATGGTGCTTTATTTTTTGTTTCTGATTCTAAGGTCCTGAAGTCGTAAGGGTTTTGAAATTTCAACTGGTGATTTACATTATTCGTCTTAATAAACTATTCCCTCATTCCAAATTTTCGTTTTTAATGAGAAATCATCTGACTATAAGCAGTTTCTATTGCTTTTTTTTTCTTTTCAGTAAAAAAATCTATAATCTGAAACCTCTATATTCATCATCAACAAAGATCCTCTTGGTTTGTTTTCTGATATCCTTTTTGTGTTTTCTGTCTCTAAAAAATATTTTTAATGGTTCCAAAAGTTAGATTTTAATTTTATTGCATTTCATAAAAGGAAAAAAGAAAAAAAAAGTACTTGCTGTTTGAATTTTTGTGTTGTTGCATCTTCTTACCCCAACTAACTCTTCGGTTTTAGCTTTTTTCCAGCTTTTAAAATTAATATGGGGGATCCTTCTGTTATTTCGGGCAGAAAACGAGGCCCTCTAGGTTCAATTGATAGATATGGAGATAAGAAGCATAAAGCAATAGTTATGCTCAACTCAGAAAAAGAAGTGATGAATGATAAAACTGAAAATAAAAATATTGTCTTAGGAGATGTATACAACCGGAAGCAGTACAGGAGAGAAGCTATTGTAAGATGGAAGTTAAAGAGAAATAATCATACAATTGCAGTCGTAACAAAAGTTCAAACACAATTTGTTGTCAGCTCCTATAAATATTTGTGGTCACTCAACAATCGGACTCTCGTTCAACCATATCCTGAGCTTCAACCACCTGTATTCCCATGTCACTTTCAGTTTACCCCTTTCACCCAATTGCACAAACATGCGGAAACTGACAATTACCAAAGTAAGAAAAACTTTCAAAACTCAAAGATTTATTACATTTACTTTCCTTTTATTCGTGATGAAATTTCATTTTTCAAATCTACCTCTGGTGAAGGATCTTAAGACATTCCACTTCCTATTTACTCTGATGGAAGTAAACCCAATAATGATGCCAGATAGGAGGTCTACATCTTTACATCAATTTTTTTTAAATAATGTTTCCAAATAGTTGTAATGAAATAACATTCTACTTTTATTCTACTCCAAAAACACAGACATAAGGGGTGTCGTCATCAAATGCTTTCCAAGTGAACAATTACATGACGGATCAGAACTATCATCAAAAAGAGACATCATCATCGTCAACGAAGAGTATGTGAATAAACAAAACAACTAACCCAAAACAAGAATATTTGTCACTTAATATTAGCCAATTGCATATCATATACACCACATGATAATTAACATATCTAAATTTTAATCACTCAGGAAAATACTTCTTCTACTTACGTTATGGAATTCCTTTGATGACAATGAAGGGCACGCTCTACAGAAAATGACTACTACACCACCAATGATATTTGGAATGAGATTGAAAGTCATCACTTCCAACGGTAAGTATAACTCACATCACAAAACAACAGCACAACATATATACGCTTCGACATACAAACCTATCAAACCATTAACTTAACTCCAATACAGGTCTGTCACTTACCACAACAATGGGCTCTGCAATCATGATTAATCCACCAGTGGCGAAATATCTACATTTAGATAATTGGTACATTCTATACTTTAAAACTTTTAACTTTTGCTGCTACTTATAACAAGATTACATACTTATTTGTACATCACAGGTACAATGAAAATGAAGGAGAACTGGAACAGTTACTTAACAGAAAAACTTACAATGAAAGTGATCTTTTGTTCCCCATTCCACAAAAAAATGACACAATTCCTATCGCAACAGCAATCGAAATCCTGAAAAGTGTAAGTAATTACAACTACTAAATGACTTAAATTACTACTACTTTCCTTTTTACAAAAAAAATAAATAAATAAAATAAAATAAAAAATAAAAAACTAACAATTAATCAACATGAACACTTTTAAAAAAAAAAACAGCAGAAGCCAGTGTGGATAAAAGGCAGCCTCAGTCTACTACACCAACATAGAAGTTTCTCAAACACATCATGTGCCAACTGTCAAAAATTAATCGAAGCAGATGTAAGCTGGATTATCATATGCCCTTTTTGCTATACAGAATCAGAAGTCCAACTTATATAAGTACCTTTTCACCATAAATTCACATCATTCACAGGCAACATACTTACAAAATCACAAATATTTGGCCAGCTCCAGAGCCACAGTTCAAGTTGATGATGCAACTGGGTCACTCTCTGCAACAATATCAACACCATACCTCGAAAAGTTCATTCCCTTTACACCTGAGGAATTAAAAGATGCAGAAGACAATGTAAGCCCAACTACCTTCACAATAATTCATAAAAAAATTAAACTAAATACAGGGGAAAAGCATTCACGATACGATAGCAGCATCAGTCGACTCGTTGTTACTTTTCGCATTTGTGTGCTCGCAAAAGACATGCCACCAACAAGAACCAAGCACAACATACAACATTGTGAAAGCATACAACATCACACCAGCCAAGAAACCAAAATAGAATAGGGACGAAGAACCCCTTTTAAAAACATTTTGCTTTTTGAAAACCATTTATAAAAATGGAACAACAATAGCCAATGAAGCAACATCTCGCAGATTAAAATCTGACAAACTTTACTTTTTGTATATTGCTTCAAATGCACAAATCTGTTAAAAACTACATATGAAGAAGTTTTCAGTGCTTGTAGGAAGATAATTGCAATATGATTTTTTCGGCTCGGGTCTATTATTGTCACTTTTTATTTTAAAAACTACATATGAAGAAGTTTTCGGCTCGGGTCTATTATTGTCCCTTTTTATTTTAAAAACAACAAAAATGAAAAAAGACATGTTACTGATTTTTTTGACCCTCACGGGCTCACACGTGTATCCCACCGTTTCAATCGTCTGATCATATTTTGAACACCTGTATCCCACCATATGTCTTTCCCATCGCTTTCACTTCCTTCCTCAAGAAATCCTTTTCTCTCCCATTTTTTTATACCTCACAGGTAATCGACTAGATTTTATAGCTCATGAGACATCCCCTTCTATCTGTCTCTTTTTTCTCTTTGAAACGATGTTGGTTTATGTTTTTTGAGTATGTCACTTCTCCGGTGATTTTATTAAGCCCCCTCTGTAGCTCGAACTGCGCTCTGTTGCTTGCTTATCACATAACACAATCAAAAATTAATCAATCAACCATGGTGCTATTGCTAGCTGGCTCATCACTTCTTCTCCTCTTCACTCTATCTATCTCCACACTAACCCTAAAGAGCCCCTGGTCATCTCTCTCGGCCACCACCTCACCACAGCCATCACCACCGGCTGTTGTCTCTCCTACGATACTGCCATCATAATACTTCCATTTCTTTAGTTCTTCAACTATGATCTTTGTTTGATATTGAAATTGGTATTTCATTGCAACATGAAATTGTGGACAGTGTTGCTTCTAATGGGAAAAAACAAAAAACAAAGACCGATTTCCAATTTTTTTTTTTTTTTCAAATGAAATTAGGGCTTTTGGTTCTTGGCTATTGAGTAAAGGTAATAACTCTTCTTTTAATTCCTATGCTTTTTTTTTGTTTGTTTTCTCAAATCTTGTTTCGACTGAGGATTTTGCCATCTCATTTCTCCTTGTTGTTTTCCCCAATTAGGATTGCTCCAAAGTACATCGGCAAGATTTCAAAAAATGAAGACGCGGTCGTTCTGCTTGCCACTCTTGGATCCTCTTTTACCGCCACCTCTCCTTAATTGTGGCCGAGTCACCACTCACCCGCTTGACTACCCCGTCACGCACACGCAGACTCCATCTTTCTTCTGTATTTAAGGTACTTATATAATTTTGGTAAGGTTTATGCGATTTTTTCTTTGTTCTTGTACGCTCGTTTCCTCTGCCAGCACCACGTGCTTCGTTTTTCCGCCCAGATCGTTGCCTCCTTCATAAGCTGGTCAACTTGTTGCCTGCCTGTTCTCCAAGAAGATGTAAATGCCTATTTATTTATTTATTTATTATTATTATTTTTTTAATTTTGTGTTCGGTTCCTTCTTTACATCTATAGTTTGGTGTTTTATTGATTGTTTTATACCTAAGTACAATTCTGTGTTAAAATGTTTGTTTTTTCAGATTATGTGTTCTTCTGTGTGGATTGGGTTAACATTTGAAAAAAAAAATTATGATGCATTCCAACTACTCGATGAAATGCTCAAACCAATTTTCTGGATTTTCATTCTAATCTGTTATTATCCCGTGCATATTAGATCATATTAGATCATACTTAAATCATTATGTTCTTGAATACGTTCTAAACTTCAATGTATGTGAAGCCCATATAAAGTCTAAGAGATTGAGGGTTATGTGCAACTTCATTAAACTAAAAAGAGTAACGAATAGTTATGTTGAATTGACTATAATTGTAGTAAAAGAGAATTGACTATAATTGCAACTTCATTTCTGCAGTGGTTGCGGCTTTTTGTTCGATATTCGAGGTCAACCTATTGGACTAAGTTAACATGTCGGTATATCTTTATTCTTCTCCTTCTATGTTTTTTTTAGTGAATTGACTCAGTTTAGGCTCTTGACTTTGATGTCACTATGTATGGCTTTACCATAAAATTTCCTTTCTATTTATGCTCTTCTACTAATTTAACTTGTATTTTATGAAAGCAAAGGAATGAATAATGATTTTTTATGTTTCGGTAAATCCAGAGTACCCAAATAATGGATATCCAGAAATAAGATTACAAGCAGATGGGATATGTCATCTATAAATTGATTGCGTTCTTGATTTTCATGAAATATGTAATGATGGAGATGGACTTCTACCTTCCATTTTGATGGTTTGTTTCAATTCCTGCTTTTTAAATTCGTTTATATTTTTATTAATTAGTGTTGGGTTTTGCCACATGTCAAGAAGCTATCAACCATAAAAGTGTTTATTTTGTCCCAACTTTTTTGAGAATTTGGTACTATGCGCAAGTATAAGAGCAATTTTGTGATTACATATCGTGGGCGGATATGTAATTCATTATTCTGTTGGTTATAGCTATGCAAATTGATATCTTTGCGACAGCACACCAAGGAATGCATTTCGTTTTCCTTAATCTTGGGTAAAGCTTAGTCGGTAAGTAGTGGTGAAAAGAGAACTGATGGTGGCATGAGGGTTGTCTGGCGTGTGGGGGTGTATGTGTAATTGAAGGGGAAATGAAACGGCATGATGGATGGTGCTACACCTAAAACACACCAAAGATGAGGTGGCCATTTGTATAGTAATCTCTCCGCTCCTTGACACTTGCTTTATATTGTATATCCTTGTATTTCGACCTTATACAGATTTGTCTATATATAAACCATCTTGGAAATTATCCTAAATGAAAAGAAGTGGCAATGTACTTTCATTTCTTTGTGTGTTGTAGCATTTTACACATGTTTTCTTTTCAATTATAGCATCCTGATAAACAACTAAAACTTAATCTTTACATCACCTTCTTGCATAATACATGACTGACCACTGGGCCGTCCTTAGGACGGCCATTAGAATTGCCTAGTATATATATATAATATATATATATATATATATATATATATATATATATGAGACCTAAAATGTATAATTTTCAAATATAAGATTAACTAGTGATGAGACTCATGGACTACTTTAAAAAAAGTTAAATATAAAAAAGTCAAAATATTTGAAAACTTTCAATTTATAAGAAAACTTTCAATTTATAAGAAAATAATAAAAATAATGAATTATTATAATTGAAATGTTTTTTATCTTTTAAATTTAATTAAATAATTTTAATAAATAAACAAAAGAAACTAATAAGCTTTAATTTAGGAATTTTGAAATTAAAAGGAAGTTCATGAAACTGATATCAATTTATTACTACATTTATTGTAATTATTGTATTATAATATTATGTGAAATTGAATAAAACAGAAAAACTCATAAAATGACATGTGGAAAAAAATTAATTCAAAATAACCACAAAATGATATTTGACAAATTAAATGATAGTGTGACATGTGGCAAAAAAACTTCATTTATTTGAGTAGATAGGGCTTATATTATGATAGTTACTGTAAATCACTAAGAAAGAAAGATTAAAGATAAAATACCTAGGATTAATACGACAGTGAGCTGATATTATTCATCATTAGCTTGATTAAATTCGGCTATCCTGAACTGTAATCGTTAATTTTGTAAGAGCTACAAAGATATGTATATATCCATACTAGGATTGACACGCCCACCTACGTTTGCTAGATACAATCTCGGCAAGATAACTTTCTTATAAATCACTATTCGACGTCCTATGAAGCATCCTGCGGGGAATCACTAGTCAAACAACGTCGATTATTAGGGCTCATGGCAATACATTACAAACATCTTACTAATCCGACTACCAAGAGGGACGTCTTGAAGTGGTAGATAAAATATGTTAGGATTAATAAAATATCCAAAAAGATAATAAGATAGGATCGGTAAATATTTTACGTAGATAGTAAATTAGAATTAGTAAAGTATCCTAAAAAGATAAAAAGCTAGTAAAATATCTTAAGAAAGGCTTTTCTAAAAGAAAAAGAATTCTTGATTTAATACAACAAAATGAAGCAGAAAACTATAAAAACTTGTGAACTCACCAACATTATCTTGATGTTTTTCAAAATACATGTATTCTCAGGGAGATTAGGGTGGAGGATAGTCGTGCCAAGGAAGAGGTCTTCAAGGAAGCTAGTTGGAGTTTATTTCCGTTATTTCTAGTTATGTTCTAAATGTGTGCTTGACCTATGAAACAATGTAATCCTAAATAAATTATAATAAATAAAAGTATCATTTGTGTTATATTTGTGTGTTATGTTCTTTATATATCTTTGTGTCTCGATCCAATATCCCTACGTCGCACAGTCCGGTGTTTCCGTTGTTGCCCGGGGGTGTGACACAATATTTGACATTCACATGAATGGAAATCACCAATACCGTTCAACAAGTTTTCTTGTTCATCCATGACCCAAGCTAGTCTCAGTTTTCGGCCCTAAAATGCATTCTTAAATATGTCTGGTACAATAGTTCATGGTTTTTAGTTGTATGCATCACTATCACGACGCCTTGTTTTTTATTCTGATGCCGATTGGGTTGGTTCTCCTTCTACCATACATTCAACCTTCGACTACTGTGTCATTCTTGGTCCGAATCTTTTATCGTGATCTTCCAAACGCCAGGGTACCATTTCACGGTCCAGTAGTGCTGAAGCGAAGTATTGTGACATTGCAAATGTCATTGTAGAGACGAATTCCCAACACAAGCTACATCTCGAGCTGCTTTACTCACCACTCACTACTACTCTATCGAGAGCTGCTATACCCACCACTCACTACTACTCAGGTTTATTATGAAAATATATGTACGGTTTACATGTCTTCTAGTCCGGTGCCGAATCGATGAACGTACCAAACACATCGAGATTTACATTCACTTTGTGTGTGAAAAAGTTTCGGTGGGACAGGTTCGAGTTCTTCATGTCCCATCTTCGTTCCGGTGACATTTTTACCAAGGGACTACAGTCTCTTTTATTTCCTGATTTTAGATATAGTCTAAACATCCTTTCGATACCTCCCGTTCCGATTACGGGGGGGGGGGGGGGGGGGGGGCGGCTATTAGCGTGTATTTGTATTGTATACATACGTTGTGTCTATTGGTAACACATTATTATAGTTAGCCCATTGTTATTATAATCAAAATATTTATGTGTTTCTGTGTATATTAGAATGGAATGGAATATATCAGGTTCATGGGAAAATTATCTTTGTAATAGTATTTACGAACATTGCTATAATATTAGTGATATTTAATTTTAAAAAATTCAACGAAGTAGCAATTTATGGTCCCCACTTAATCTTCCGATTAATCCCTGCCTAACCGATTAATCTCTTGACCCGAACTAATTCCATTACATTAACTAGCTAACGTCCAACGTTTTTTACAACCATTGTTTTTACTAATATGAGAATGTCAAAATCCGACAGAATTGGATACAAGGACTCCGGCAATAATATATTTGATTCCGATTTGGTTCTAAATCTGACCGAGTTGAAAGAGACATTTGGCAATACCTATGAAGATGAAAAAATTGTTGGTAATAGCCCTGCAATCCCCCATGCCTTAACAAGAACCATAGTTGGAAAGGAGATGGAATATTGTTCAAAAAAACATTCAAGATGGTGTTGTCTCAAAATCAGTAAACGGGAAAATCTTTATCGTCATCCAAGTCTAAAGGGTAGGTATATGACATGCCGTTTTCTATTCAGTTAATGGACAACCTACTGTGCAGTTCTAATTCACAAACTAAATGTCAACGACGTTGTCCCTATCAACCATGTTTCGCAAGAAGCGTGTTAGCTTGGTTTGCCAGGCACCCCAATGTCCAAGGAGCATGTTGCTTTATATATTTTAAATATTGCTTTATGCTATGACCACCTTTTCTGTAGTACGTTTTCGATGGCCAAGCAACAAGTCTCCTCTAACTTTTTTATATTTTACAATTTCATCTTTGTTATAACACAAGTTTGATATTATTGGTATCTAACCGAATGTTTATGTATATATATATGTATGTAGGTATGTATGTATGTGAATTAGTAATTTCAAATTTGGCCCAAGGATTAGAGGGTTATAATTAAAAAATTAAGAGCTGGATGGTTAGATTTAATGGTCAATATAGAAGAAAATGAAACCACATAATCCAATGGTGCAATGAGAAGGATAATTGGACTATTATAATACAGGAATGTTTCTGTAATTTTGTCAAATAACTATATAAAAAACGTCATGAATTTATCGTATACAAAAACATTTGTATACAAAAAGAAGGAAGAAGCATAGGGCTATGGTACAATCACGCGGAATAATACGTACGTGTTTCAAGATAAACATGTCGAGAAGGGAGTCGACGACACAAAGTAGACCTTGGAGAATCTACGTGCCGGTTTCCTTTCAGTTTCAGATGATACAGAAATCCAACCTCTCGCTTTCATCAGCTGAAACAATAGCGTGTTATTATTTTGAAATTGGGCCATCATACGATAACAATTTCTTCTATCTTTATTTACATGAACTTTCCCAACTCAAGCACTAAAACTTCATGTTTTGCATACTACGATTTGAGTCTATGTTAATTTCAGATGTTTGGTAATTTCTCGGTACTTTCTCATTATTTCTGTTTCCTTTATTTTATCCCGTTTTACTGTTCAGGGTGTCAGGGTAAATATTCAGAAAGTGGGTGTGACCAAGTCTTATGTTTGACCGAGTATTTTGGAGAATAAGAAGTACAGGTGGGTAGTTGCATGTTTATTTTATTTTCATTTTTATTTACAGTACGTGGCATGTAGTGTAGCAGCTTACTTGTTTTGTCTGTATATAGTGTAGAATGTTTTCTTTCATAGATGTAAATGTAATCTGTTTCCATTTGCAAGTAAATATAAACAAAGAGAAAACCCAAATAACCTTGAGCAATAAATGAGAGTCGGTATCAGGTGTTTGTTTTTGGTCTTTATCAGGTAGGAAAGGGGCTGATTTCCAACAATTTCCAGAAACACTGGTGATTCTCCTAGGAAGCATAGCTTGGATGAACCGTTAATTAATCACTTAAGGCTATATTTGGCGTACTAGCTAAAAAGTTAGTTGTTAGCTGAAAAGCTAACTAATAGCTGAAAAGCTAGCTGTTAAATAAAAAGCTAGCTGATAGCTGAAAAACTAGCTGATAAAAAATGTTGTTTGATAAAACTAACTGAAAAGCTAGCTGAAATATATAAAATGACTTAAAAGGACATGTGAAAGAATGTATTTCTATATTTAATTAAGGGGTATATTTGAGAAATTTTAAAAAAGCTCCTAAAAAGCTAGTCTAAGTAGCCTTTTAAAAAGCTTGTTTATAAGCTAGCTTTTAAGTTACTTTTTGGCTTCCCAAATATGACAACATAAAAAAGCTCGAAAAATAAGCTAGCTTATCAACTAGCTGTGGCGTGCCAAACATAGTCTAAATCTATGATTTCCCTAGTTTACCAACGGTGTTTTCAACTAATGATTTGTATGTTGAATCTAAACACCAAAAGAAACAAAGTAATTATATGAAAAATTCAAAATCATGTTATACATTATATAATCACTTAAGGCTATGATTTCATTAGTTTATAAATGGTGTTTTCAACTATTGATTTGATTTCCATGTTGAATCTTAACACGAAAAGAAACAAAGTAATTATATAAGAATACCAAATCATGTAATATATACACTATACAATCACTTAAGTCTATGATTTCTTTATACATATCAAGTTAACTTGATATGTACTAATTAAACGACCTTCTTTCTTTAAATTTCATCTAGCCATAAAATCCCACTCCGCGCCATCAAAGATTGTACCGAAAACTTGAACAAAAGAAAAAGTC